TAAAACTTTCTACTAACGTTTCTACTAACACGATACATCTGCCATCACAGGAAGAGCAGTTCAGGCACTCTTAAGATTACAAAAACCATGATTGATTGATAGAAGCTCAAGATCTATGGCTGGCCACTCATACATGATTCTGGGTGACTCGTTAGGTTTAAAACCAACGATATGTATAGTTTAAGTGGGAAGAACAAACCATGTATTTTGAGGTTCAAATTGTGTGAGCATATGTCAGTATGGAAGAAATATGAATGGAACTGAAATTAACTGGTGTCTCGGGAAAGAGGAGGAGACATATTAAAAATGGTGCTCTGCCCAAAGATTTTCCATGTGGTTATTGATCCACATGGCAGGAAGTGCTCAGGAACAATATAAATTATGCCATTGTAGGCTCTATCTTTTGGACTAGAATTCCTATAAGACCAGCCAGCATGGCAAATGGTCAGAGAGTCATGGAGATGGTAAACCAAAATATCCAGCATCTGAGGGCACTGGGTTTCCTAACTCTGCTGTAAGGAATGCTTCCCCCAAGGTCCAGCTTGTCCTCTGGTACTCATTTACCAAATCCCCAGGATGAATCCTTGTACTTTTGTCATGAGACCTTGTTAGAGAAAAAGCCCTCCAGTCTCTCTGGAATTTCACATCCTCTAGGAACCCAGCAGCTCCTTCAGAGTCTTTGATGCAGAATATATGAAGGCTCTTCTATAGCAGGGAAATCTTCAGGACCTTGAATTGCCAGTGAATATGACGGTGTTTCTGGTTTACCTTAAGAAGAATTATCCCATCTATCTGAAATCATCAGAAAACTATTTACAAAGTAAGATCAATACCCCATAATTTACCAAAGGTTGTGGGTAGGTGGTTTGATTTCTCACATTGTGCATGTTGAAGACAAGAAAATTTATTTTTAAATGAGTGGAATGTTGCAAGAGTTTTATTCTCAACTTTTTGCTAATTTTTTAAAAAATATTTTTATTGGGTCTTAATAAACAATATCAGATAACTACATTAATAGAAATCCAAGATACATATAGAGACAAACAAACAAATAAACAAAAAGAAAAGAGAAAAGAAAAGAAAAGAAAAGAAAAGAAAAAGTGTAGAAAATACAAAAGAGATCTACGGCAATGTGAATACAGAGACAGATACCGTACATATGAATATTTGCCATATATATAAACTATGCCAAATTAAAATCTATCGCTACTGAGATAAACCATAAAATCCATCCAGATTTGATGAAATTGTGGTTCCTGTTTCTGAGGTCTCATTAATTTAACCTTGTCTGTAGGTTTTTCTAATGTAGCAATTGAAAAGGACTTGTGGACACGATTGTTATGTTATCTAGAGTTTTCCAGTGTTGCAGAGTTATTATTTTGGTTGCTAAGATTAAATAAATAATAAGTTCTTTATTGTTAAGCTTATGGTTTGGTCCTGTAAATAAATGCACTGATATTACTCATCTCCCCAAAGATTTTACGCCAAAAGGGTATAACTTTATCGCATGATCAGCACAAAGGAAAAAATGATCCATTTTTTTGACAACCTCTCCAACATTTGGAAGAATAATTTTGATATATATGTGCCAATCTAACAGGAGTCAAGTGCCAGCAATGTAGAATCTTCCACCGCAGTTCTTGCATTGAAGCTGAGGTAAATCCACCCAGTTTCCATAACTTCTGCCAATTTGTCTCCTGTATGGGATTACTAATATCAGTATCCCAAGCTTCCTTTAAACCATATGGTGGATCTCCTATTTCTGATTGCAGTAATGGCCTATACATTTTTGAAATTGTTCCTTTTGTTCTAAATAATGAAGTGTTTGTTGCAAATACATTATTTGTTCTAAATAATGAAGTGTTAAATTCTTGAAATTGGTATAGGGCCATGTTGCTGAAATTCTATTTCTATTGCCCAAGAGAGATTTGAATTGATACCTTCCCTATCTTTCCGAATCTTTTGAAGCTTGAGATTTATACCAGCTTTGAAAACAACTTAACAATCCTTTTCCTCTTAATAGGATCTCTCAGACCTCTAATATTTAAACTGTTACACTGTTCTCCAATAATCTAGTTTGTAGAATGTCTATCTAATTTCTCTATGCAGTTAAGATGATCTTGCATTCAGAAAATTATTGAAAGCTTATTGCTTACAAAATCTATCAGTAAGTTGCCTGATATTATAAAGAGCATGTATGACATTAGTGTTCTTTTTCCTGCATTAATGTCCTCCTCCTTTTCTCTTTCCCACCTTTGAAAATCGTCCCTCCCCCCCACCCCATCCCCCCCACTGTATCATGCCTCCATATCCAGCCTCCCTACCCTCCCAATTCCACTTAGACTGATAGTGAAAAGATTGCAGAGGATCCTTTAATGATCTAAGAGGATCCTTCAAGGTCTAAGGGGTGTGTGTGTGACCTACGGAGATTCATTCTCCCCCTCACCAGCCAATAAGCTCCCAAATTTAATTACATTAGTTCCTTAGCCATAGTTTTACCTAAATTATTATTTGATTTAGTTCTTTATTCTTATTTAACTCCCTCCTTTTTCCCCTTCCTCTAAACCTAAAAATTCAAGAAGTAATACAATTGTTATAATTTCTTTTATTCTGCAGCTTTTATCTTTTATATTTG